ATGGTGTTGCAAAATAAAATTGAAATTAAAACTGGGGATGAATAAAACGTGCCATTCATCTGATGCCACAAACGAAAGATTTTGAGCCCTTTTACTACATTGTTCGAGGCATATATGTCACTTTTATCGTAAAATACCAAACATCTTTCCAACAGCCTGTGCCAAACTTAGATGACAGAAACCTTCAATGTGCATAATTTATTAACAATCCATCTATATAATGCACATTATATTATAAATATCATGCCTGTATCTCATAAAATTTACTATCATAACAGTGACATCAGGGTTTCATTGCTACACCTGATCTGCACCTGAGCTTAAAAAATATATCATATATATATCACATCACATAGATAATGGGCCAAAAGTTTGCCACATTTTCAGTCCATCTGTTTAATTTCTTTTGCCAGATTAACAATGGCAGACTGGAATAACCTGCATAGGAGCATTGTGATCCAATGTGGTGACACTACATCAATACCACAACTACCTGACTATTTGCAACTGCACTCATAGCACAATCATAGACTAAATTTGTCTAGTTACTTTATAAACATTCTATTTGTCTTGTTCATTTTGTGTAATATATACCTCTTGTGTAATGCCTGTGCAGGCCCACAAGGTTTATTAAATGATAATGCTCGTGATAATTTATACATGTATTGCATATATTACCTCACAAGCAACTAGTCATGCATGGCTTTTTTCCTTTTCGAAAACGCTACCAAACATACCGACACATTGCTTTTTTCTGAGACATTTATCAGAAAGGGTCGTACTGCAATGTTTGGTCTCATATTTAATACACAAAAGGTAATGCATGATTGTAACTTTTTTTACTAAAATGCTTATTGTGCACTGACTGAGTTTGCACTATAAAAAAAGACTATCTCAAAAACCATTTTAGTGCCTGCTTAAGTTTGTCATGTGCTCCACTAGAGCCAGCTTGAAGACAAACCGTGTATATATTGGAGGAGCACCTCTATGCTTTCATAACTTCTTACAAGACCCAAATAGATATATATAGCAATCACAATAAAACTATAAAAAAGAAGGGAAATAAGAAGAAAAGCTTGTTCTTTGGGCTCTGCAGGAAGCCGCTGTTGCTACTGATGCTTTTCCCGCCCAAAGACTAAGCGACCGCCTCTCAGCGAGAAGGAACAAGCTGGTTCTCCTTCTTTCCAGGAATAGAAACTTCCTATTGGCAATTTTTCAATTCTGGCTCCAGGCAAAGCCAGAACAAAAAGAATGTCAGGTGATATTCTTAAACACACCCTGGGGCATCCACGATCTTGACACTAAGCACAAAAGCTGTGAAAATATAGACGTACGCACTTGGGCCTACTTGGCTACTGGAAAGAGTTCAGCGATGTCTGGTAAATGAACTTGTTGCAACTTCGTTCCCAAGAAGGACTGCGTACGCGGGAGGACAGATACCAAAGCCTGATTTCACATGACTAGTTCATTTACCAGATCAAAATTTAAGAGTTCAATGTAAACAAAGACATGGGTTGCCAGAGGCAAGAGAAGAAAATAACTAATTCATGTTTTGTTTTTTCTTCCTCCAGACATAGGAAATTCAGCCTGACATATGGAGTCTGAACTCACCAACGAAGAAATATTACCATTATCATGACACATGCATTACACGGCTGTGTCTATTTCAATCCGTCAATGCACGAAAATACCTAACACTAAAAACTTCCCTGTACCTCTCAACATGTATTCAACTACCTAGAACAATTTCTATCACATAACACTTACGACACATTTTCATGATAGCTATATACACTAGGAGGAAAGCTGTAACTGCTCTTAAACAAGTTAAAGTGCTTGCGCTGACGTCACATTACATACTTTTAACCATCATGTAAGAGGAGGAGAGGGAAGCTGCTTTTATAAGAATTTTGAGTGAAGGGTATATCTACAATATCCTGGGAGAACAGCGACGTCTGTGCAAATCCAGGAGGCACAAAAGCGGATCCTGGTAAGAGGGGAGCTCCTTCTTCCCCTCCTCTTTGGAAGTGGTCAGAGCACTCTGAATGACGGCACGTGCAAGCCATGTATGGAGTGCAAGCCATGTATGGATTGGAGAATGTTGAACACCATAATGTATTTGTGTGTGTGTGTGTGTGTGTGTGTGTGTGTGTGTGTGTGTGTGTGTGTGTGTGTGTGTGTGTGTGTGTGTGTGTGTGTGTGTGTGTGTGTGTGTGTGTGTGTGTGTGTGTGTGTGTGTGTGTGTGTGTGTGTGTGTGTGTAACCTTAGGGACAGCACAAACCTGCAGAACAAAAATCGTTTCATCAACTTCTTTAACACCTGCGAAATCTCCACTGAAGAAACCAAGAGTCCGAAAGGAGGCACAGCAAATGCAAGGTCGATCCTGCTTTGTTAGCAACCACCAGTGGTAGGACGCAGCCCGAAAATAGGATCAATGACCTCACAGCTGTCAATATGAAGTGGGCCCAGCTGCGAGAAGCATCTTTTGGCATGCTGCCACGGCTCTGCGCACAATCTCTGATGACGTCGTTGATATACGCGATCATGATAAGAAATGCAAAAATGTTGGCGTTGCATTCCGCACGGAGGATAGGTTAATACCAGCTCAATATGCCTAAGAGATACGCTCGTTGAGCTCAGAACCAAAGTTCAAAGCGCTTGCTGCCTGCCTACTTTCCCGGTGTTTCGTATGAGCGATTGCACACACTCGCAATGCCGAGTAAAAATGACAGAAAGTGGACACAGTTTCCTCACTGGTAAAGTCACGACTTCCTATTTCGCGTTAGCATACATGGAAGATCCGACAAGTAACAAAGCAGAAATAGATAAAAAATCGAACAAAAGAAAAAAAGAAACAGGAAAGTTCACGGAACGATTTCAGAAGCTTCCACGGTCCCACCGAAAAAACAGGCTTTTCAGCTCGTTCGACGACGGCTTTTCCGGTCACTCGACACTTTTTTTAGGCACACAAAACTGGATTTCTGGTGCGCGCTTGCTTTTTTCTTCTTTTTCCTCGATATTTTTATTTGTTTGCCAATCTACTTCACCCGTAGCGTACGCCGTAATAGTACGGTAGTTGCTGAGGTCAACTGTCAAACGAGTGTCGAATGATGATACGAAAGAAGCGTAAAAAAAGAAAAAGAAGGAAAAGGAAACTAAAAAGAAAATAAAGCGTCAGTCCTTTAAAAGCAAGCAAACAAATAACGGTTCAAAGAGGAAACCGACGTGCGGTCTCAAGGGTTACAAAAACGCACACGTCTTTCTTTCTTTTTACGCAATATCTGGACGCTCCAGGAAACGCCGAGGAAACCTAAATCCCCCGATTAAAGAAACAGATAAAAAAAAAAGTCAACACGATCGCATACCAGCACACCAGATATCCCTAAGCCGAAGAGATACACACAAAATAAAATAATAAATAAACCAAACAGAAACGCGTCGCCTCAGGCGCCTCCATCGCTCAAAATTTGGGTTAATCAATGCTCGAGACTTTCCTGCGCGACATTTATTTTTATTTTTCGCGCGTGCTTCACATTCGCAGAAGTCAAGCGACCGTGCGTGCACATAACTCAGCAGCCCCTCAACTTCTCTCCTCGCCCATAATTTGCTCTATCATTACCCCACAATGTGACGTAAGACGTCTTGACGAGAGTTATGTTTTGCTCCGATTTGTTTACACTGGGGTCTGGACGGAATTTCACCTTGATCAAACGCAACTACGTCGTTAAAAACCGTCCTGTACGTACCTCGTACATCATTTTATCCTTGGCGTAGTTTAGAATCGAGCTGTTCGCGGTTTACAACCGCCCCAAGTCTCAGATCCGAAACTCCGTAATCGTCGTATTTGGAACAAGTGTTGGAGTGGTTTGGTTTGAACGATGAAAGCGCGCACGCCACTTGTTCAAGTTGTGAAACAGGACAGGACTTATCGTCGCTGACGTTTACCTCAGCGGCTCAGCCACCAATAGATTAGTAGCGGACGCTGCTCCACACAGTAGACGCAAATCTCGAAAGCCGAATCTCTGCTACCCTTGTGGAATGCGCGGAATCGCTGCAATTCGTGACGCGACGGCGTGCCCGCCGAACGCAGAAGTTGACGTAAGAGTACGTGCCACACCTACTCCTCGAAGATTGCCGCTGAAACGGTCAATCTGCCGCACGAGAAAACGTGACAAGTTTTGAAATGTAGTCGTGAGTCGATGCGGTAGCGGTACGGCAATAAAGCAACGTAGAGCCAAAGGAAATTTAGCGCTGTTATCGGTCAAGGACGCGTTGGAAGTGCACCGAAAAATGAAATAAACGATGACACTTTACAACCCCCCTCTGACTGGACTTGGCGCGATCGGTGCCAAAAAAAGAAAAAAATACTTGAGATCAATCGCACCACAAGTCAAACATGAACAGGGAGGCTATGTTCGACAAATGTTTCGTTTCTCCTAAAAAGAAACAGAAGTGACGTAAGGGATGATATCGCGTCTGATTGGCTAGCGGCTCCAATGACGAAAGTTCCCTCTTTCGTCATTTGAGCCTCTAGCCAATCAGACGCGATATGGTCCCTTGCGTCACTTCCGTTTCTTTTTAGGAGAAACGAAACATTTGTCGAACATAGCCCCCCAGGACAATACTACGGCGGTAAACAACAAATCCGTCACCTTTCCAACTGTCGCGCCAAGATTTAACAGCCTCCGGTAATTTTTCTTTTTCTCCCTTTAGGCACTTTAGGTTCACATCTCGCGGAGTAGTACGGCGCGGTGAAATACAGCCTCGTAAAAGAAGGGTGTAAAACAGCGCGCCTCCATCGACTACAGTGGGGAAAATTCCACGGGTGTCGGCGTCAGTCCGTCTTCACCGCGTTGCTAAGATATTGGACAGATTTTACAGCGTATTTTTGGGCGGAGATGGAAGAGTACGGTAAAGACAGGGCATCACCTCCCGCCTATAGGCTTAGCGTCGAGTACGGGCGAACGGATGATCTCAGCGTGAACCGAGCGAAGCTTACCAGTTCCGTAGACTCTCTGACAGCTTGCGACACGGTCTCGCGGGCTTGAGCCGCGGTGCCTGGCTTGCTGAGGGCTCGGGTGAATTTCCGTTCGGCCATTTAGGGCATAGCGGCACTCTTTCTACACAAGAAAACGCCAGAATGGAGCCAGCACGTAAAATACACCGCAGCACGACGCGAACTCCTTCACAACTTCGCCATCACTGCTCGTAAAAAAACAAAAGTACAAAATTTGGCTGGAACACCTAGCGCCATCTGTCGTGAGTCGAACAAACGATAACTTTGCGCGCGCTTTTTTGAAAACTAAATTGTGTAATCTTCGAGGTACATTTTTCTTTTTAGTTTACTTGCTTTGTTTACAGGATTAAGAGAGACGGGAAGTCGCATGGGATGTAAACAGGGTAAATAGGACGCGGAATGCTCGTTTGGGAAACGATACAAAAGTGGGTGTTCGTTAGTCGCGGAATGGATTGGATCGGCCGTTCTTAGGCCTACATTGTACAGGCTGCTGCGAAAAAAACAACAATCTGCAACGTGAGTCGGCTTGTTTCTCATAATGTCAATGAACTGCGTAGCCAAACGTTGCAATGATTAATTTTACGGGAAAGAGGGCGTCTAGTATTTTATATTTCAGTCGCGGACAAGAATGTCTCGCGAAATAAGAGAACAAAGTCAGACGGCTCACCATGGCAGCCAATTCCCTCTTTGGGTAAGTGCCAAAAAATACTTTTTGGAAACGACAACAGCGCTACCGGACTGCAGCGCATTTTATAACGGGTACGTCGACTTTCTAGGCTTTGGCAAGTCTTCCACTTTCTGCACACTCGAACCACGCAAATCTTCAATTTCCGATGGAACAAATTATTCCCTTACAATATCCCTGCGACGTTTATACTAACAAAGCGTTTATGGAGCACTCAAATTGTGTAATGTCACTGGTGAACAAAATATAGCCTATCTTATAATGATGTTTCCGTAGCCGATTTTCCTGCGGCTGTCTTCGACGTTTTGGCATTACTACTACATACATCTGAAAGTAATAAATATTTCTAATAGTTTCTCTTTTCAATTAAGGCATCTCGTTGCGTAACTTTGTTCTTGTACATCTTCGAGAAACAATTATAAATTCAAATAATCAAATGCTCCTACAAAAAAAAAATTCAGACCCTTTTTTTTTTTTTTATGGTGCGGTTTGCAGTGTGAGAAATAATTTTACGTACGTGCCCATCACTTGCATACGATCGTCAGATCGTGCTGGAAACTGTCACCAAAAACGGCCGTGTCCACTCTCAATGCCGAAACAGAATTCTGTTCCTAACCGGATGAAGTGCAGCGAGAACAGTTGTGCTACGGGCGGGTCTCAGTTTTCTGTCAGCGGCTACAGGCTGCATCCCTTTCGCATAAAAAGAAAGAAGGAAGGTGGCATTCCTGCCTCTTTCTTGTTTTCTCTTATTAGACAATATCACAACCACCGACGCAAGGGCTTGATTATTTATTTTTTGTTTCAGGTGATAAATTACCCCTGCGTCTGAGGATCAAGTATAGCATCACTAATTACGAAAAAAAAAAAAAAAGAGGAATGTGTACTTTTTTAATTAATTAGCGCCATGCGAAAATAAAAAGAGAAGAACACGGGAAAAAAATAAGCGTAGAACGAATCAAGTGTGGGTTCACAAAGAATATTCTAAACCTGTAAAATAACCAGGATACATGGGAAGGCATCATTCAGCTAGTTTGGATTGGCGAGTAAGATATATTGGCTTTTTATCTCTCCGAGAGTGATAATCACGTGACCATGTACAGTTTTGAAGAGAGAATTAGCGTAAAGCCGCCAATGACGCCGCAACGGTCGGTAAGTAATCCGACGAATCTTAATCATAACCTGATTTATGGACACGAACTCCACGTGAGAAAGGCAGCCGGTGTCTATTCTCAATTCTCCGAACGGGGACAGCGTGGAGCCGGCACCGTTGGCACCGTGTTTGGCTTCCAGTGTGACGTGCGTGTTCCGCCCCAAGGTTATCAGTGCGAAAATAGGATCAGTTACATCCCGTGGTCTCGACCGGTATCCGTGTGAGCGCATAAAGGAAGTAATAAAACAAAAATGCTTAGTTTTTTGTTGTTTGTTTTGTATGAAGAACACCATTACCATGTTAAGGTTACAACCGGATATTGGTCGTTCTGGTATCACACACTAAAACAAAAGAATGTGTATTTGAGAACACTGATAGCTTTTCTTTTCCTTAAAAAAAATTAAATACAAGCTCGCGTGTGTCCTTTTTTTAGGCATGTTTGGAATTATTGAAAAGAGAGAGAGAGTCAGGCTGGGGAGGTTTCCTCCTTCTTGAGATTGGCGTCCTCGCGCTGAACTTTCCTCAATTTGAGTGCCCGTCCGCCACCGCGTTGTCACGGACGATAGCGCTGTCGACTCCGAGCCCGTGTACAGGTTGCGTCGTCCGTACCGTAAAAATACTTCCGCTCTTTAACCGGCGCGAGTCCGTGCGACGATTGAGGATCAGCGCTATCCATTGACGCGGAACCCTGGAATCAAAAGCGGGAGTTCTGGTATAATTGTTGTCGTTGTTTTTCCTTCATGGGGTATTTATGAGCTGTCAGTCGGCTAAGATGCTGGGATAGCAGCTATCTGAGGATAACAGGTTCCAAACACGCTGTGGAACATATATAGGCTAAAATAAGGCTGAAGAATACGCTGGGCATCTTGATAACCATAAGACAACAGCCGAGAACAAAAAAAAAAAAAAAGTGAACGACACAGACGGACAGCTAAATGTCGTAGAAGCCGCAGCACGTGATTCAAAAGAAAATACCGCGTTATTTTCCCTTTTTGTTCGTTTCAATTACGTGGTCGGATCAATATACACCGGACATAACGATCCCGAGCAAAAAGCTTTCTGGCAATATGACCCTAGATGATATAGTCCCATAATCTGGACAAAAAAGTCCCAGGTACAAAGCTCGACAATGGTATCAAGCTAATGTCTCGCTATAGTTTGCGCTGGATTGATGCTTTGAACTCGTAGTTTGGTATACTTTTGCTACTTTTTAGTGTAATTAAGCTTAATAATTACCCACTTCAGCTAAGAAATAATAAGGAGCCAGAGCCAATCTCTCCAACGGTCTTTATAGCCAATCATTGTCGTTATTCGATACTCCTCTTCAGAATAAATCATTTGCTCTATGAATCAAAACTTCGCCGGATGATGTTTTTATTCTTCACGATTGGAACCTGTTTTCTCGTAGTCATTCGCCATCGAGTAGGGGTGTGCAAATAGTGGTTCAAATCTAATAACGCTGTGTCACCTCTATAACTTCAACGCTGTTAGGAACACTGGTCGTCGTGGCTTTCTCCTGCACAGGCTATAGGAATGACGCAGCGCTATTGGATGCGAAAAAACATCCAGACATTCGTATAGTTTTTTTAAGTTTAGAGTCTATAGTCTAGACTCTATACCTAAAAACTATATAAATGTCTCGATTAAAAGTCTTGACTGTAGACCATCGATCATTGCACCCTTTTAGCAAAAGACCGCAAATGGGAGCGTCGCGGAACTGTCCAGTGGTGCGATATCTCCATCGAGCAAATGTATATATTTGTAAATCATTTAATTGCTTGATTTTGTCTTAAATTTATGTTAGTTCTTTCATGTAACACGGTCTCGATTTTTTTTTTTTTTTTTGGGGGGGGGGGGGGAAGGGAGGGGGGAGGGAGAGGAGCACTGCTTTAGGCGTTGTCCGGCAAGGAGGATAGAAGGGTAGGAGAGGGCATGACGTCGGCCGCGTAGACTCCACAAGCCATGCTCCCTTGACGCCTCGCCTCTTTCTCATTTTCCTCCTTACTCTCCTCACTTACCTTGCCAACGTGACCAGATCACGTGACCGTAGCTAGCCTTCGTCTTGCTATGGTGTACTAGAATACACCACAGTCTAGCTTTCTATCTGATAAAACCTACCGGACGGAGCGCGCGCAGCCTGTAAGGAGTCCTCCTACAATCAACCATCCATCTCACACGTGACATGTCACGCGCACCAATCGCCAGAGAGATCAGCGGTCACGCTGGGCACAAAATCGTTTAAACTTTTTATGACTAGGCTTCACCAATACTGCAACGTGCCCTCTCCTAGTACTTGTAACCTCCTTGTTGTCCGGTGATCGTGAGCACGGAGTAGAAGAGCGCCACCTTGCAACGACCCTTGCGGCGCTTGCGAAACACAACAAGGCCGCTCAGCGTCGAACCGGGTCGCTGACATCCTCGGCACCGGCCCATAGGTGAATGGGAGGGTCTTAAAGTGCGGCGTGACGAGCGAGTTCCGTATACGAGCAGTCCGTGCGTCGCGCACATTGGGTCGCTTTATTTCTCAGACGCTGCACCCAGAGCCAACCTGTCGATGAAAACGGCCGTTCACATATGGGTGAGACAAAACACGCCAATTCATTCAACATTTTGTGGGCTCCTTGATCTTTCAAGCAGCGGTCGCTCTGCTAATACATCGAGCAAAAAACAGTCCGCAGGTATATAAGGCCTGCTTCTTCTTCGCAGACGTCCCTGTCGCAATGGTCGTACAAAAGCTGTCTGCGGACCTGTTCGAAGCCCACATAGGCTCGACGCGCTTGGATAGTTCTGCCATCCATGTCTGCAGCGAACGTACTGTCTTTTGCATGATGTGTGAATAGTGCGCTTGCGGATTTAAAGTATTGACACTCCGTTGCCCGAGTGTTTTGTGGGCGGCGACATTTTGTTGTCCAGCCAGTGCCACAAGCACGAGAGCACGAGGTCGCTGCTTTGAGCCACAAAGCGAGCACTCGCGTTAGAAACGCACGTCTCAAGGCTAGGAGCACGGGTTAGCCCGCACGGCCTGTCTTCCATTGCTTGATCACGTACTCTGAGCATCGCCTCAGCGTTCGGCGAGGACTCGGATCCAATCACGTGCTTCATGTTCAAGCAGTGGCTTGGATTGGATTGGATTGGATTGGGTCTTTTTTTATGGCGGCCGCCTATGTTGCTCGACGGACTTTTTGAAAACGCGACTTCTTGAACTTTAGATACGGTTGCGGGGACCCAGAAAGCTAAGACAATATTGTCTTTGCTCTATCGCGGGGTGTCCTAAGCATTTCTGGAGGACGGAAAAGCGTTTCCCCTAATTTTATATAGAGTGAGTTAGATAATTACCTGGATCGGTGACCAAGA